GTTTGAGTTGCCTAACCCTAACCATACCCTAACCACAGTTTATTTGCCGTAGCCACAATCTTTTGCTAACCTTAACCCTACTGTAGTCGTCATTGAACATTATCCAGGGTTTTTGCAGAGTCATCCAATAGCAATGTTCTCTCTGGCAATAGTGTTGTTTTATAGGATGTCCTGGTTGTTGTCAATTGTCCAGTCAACACTGTGGCTTAAACTTACCAGCATCTATCCACTAAAATAATTACATCTAACACAGCCGACTTCTCATTTGTCTCATCCTTTGAACTGTTTGTCTCTATAGATCACCGCTGCTGCAATTTGTCTGATGTGCCTTCTAATGGGTGGGAAAGCTCCAAGTGACCATGAACAATGATTTTCTGAATATTTCCCATGACTGCAACATTTCCCCTTTCTATTGTGTGTGCCCTTTGGCTAATGCAATTCAAGCTTTCTAAAGTATCTAATGCCTTTGCCCTCTGGTGTCATTCATTCTTATTTCAGCATCAATTGACGTGTTCAATGTTATATTTCTAGGATTATCTACAAGAAACTCAATTAAATCATTAGAGCAACCTGACCTTTTGGAACTATGATGACTGGCATACATGATAATTGTGGCCCTTTTGAGGTGCTATTGAGATGGCCCCGATTGGATAAAGTTTGTCTCAATGATGATAACCGAAACAACAACCGAACATGACTAAAATCCATTCACTCCAGTCTGAATGAGCAATGTCCATGAATGACGACACACAACATGAATAAAGCCCTGCAGCAGTTTGAAAACAACACAAACTCAATCCGATGAACCAAAATAACCTTCAAATACCAGACCCTGACATCGGCGATCTGAGGGAGCAGACCGTTTCTTCATGAGCCTTGAAGTATGTGAGGAAAAAAACAGAAGATGGAGGAGAGAAAAGAGTAGCGGGGGATAAAGACAGGAAAGGAGTGTTTGAGTGTGTGTGTGTCTTTGCTTATGTGTCCTTTGGAGCATCCCCAGGCCTGTCTACTCTGTTCTCTCTGCAGCCGAAGCCGATCGGCTCTGCACTGTGAGCCTACATGGTTTTAGCCAGGGCCGCCACAGACAGACAGCTGCTATTAAACCCTGATTGTTTCAGGTTCACAGGGTGTGAAAGGGTCTGATTGAGGGGCTGTGATCCCAGTGAGGGTGGTCCCTCTCCCCCTCTCTCCCTCCTCCCCCCTCACCTCCCTCTCACTGGAAGGTGGGAGGAGGGTGTTGGGGAGGAGGACTGGTGGTGGTGGGGGGGGGTTGCAGGCATCACGTGACGCATGTTTCTTGCTGAGCGGACCAAAATGGAATCTGGACAAAAACACACCACTTGTTGCTGCCTGCCTCTGGGTACCCCTTGTGTCACATAACTGGCAGCTTATAGTGCCAACACAGAAATTAAACACGTTGTCTACATCATTAATGTGACAGAGAGCTACAAGGAGTCCATGTTGAGACATTTTGTATTCCAGACTTTGCTCTCACACATCTTTTAACGAACTGTCATCGCTCAAATCGCCTCTGTATTAAGGTTACATAAGGAGCACAGATTATAACATACAATCCACCTGAAAATCCTCCACCTACCTTTGTTTATACTGGCCTAATGGGAGAATTGTATTCAGCCTGATAATAGAGACTTATCACCACTCTGATATGCTGGTGATAAACCAGAACCGTCCTCTCCTGTGACTGGATAGGAGGACAGTTGCTTCCTGTATGGTGTATTTGTTTAAGAGCATTCCCATTAAGGAGCCTTTTGGCCTTAACACACTTGATAAAGACCAGGGAGGGCGAGGAAGCACCCCTGCAGAGCTTTTCACACGTGGCCAAAGGACAAGTGCACTTTCCTCCCTCGAAATGCTCCCCCGTTACAACCTTGAGAAGGGTCCGAGTGTGTCTCTGTAATGGATTATATTCAAGGAACTGAATGCAAGCTGCACTGGAATGGTTGCTTGACTACATTTTTTGTTTTCGTGCAATCGAACAAAATGTCTAAGGCATCTCGACACACAGAAACTCATAAGTTTAACAAAACATCACAAACTCTGATTATGTTTTCCCCCTCTTATCCAGTGTAATCAATTCAAAATAATAATAATATAACAATTATTTGGTAAATAATCTACACTTCCTAATAAATCATTGTCTTTCCCGCTCATGTTTTTGGAGATCCACTAAAGAGCCTTTGTGACTGACTCTCTATGTGTATGTGAGTGTGTCTGAGCAAATACTGTTTAGGGAGGTTGTGAGTTTGTGTGCTTAGCACTTCTCACTGTCACTTTGGAATAAATAAGTATTTGGCTGTTCTATTGAGTCCAGTGTTGACACTCTTCAGTCCAGGGCCACTACATGAAGACCAGCAGCCTAATCTTCCGTAATTAACAGCTACAGTCAACTCCTACAGAGGTAATTAGATTAGATCCAATAATCTATCTCAGATTAGAGATAGATTATGGAAGGCTTCAATGCATGAGATAGATTATAGAAGGCTTCAATGTTGTTGTTTTTTAGTCCAAAAGAAGGAGAGATATTCAGCCATGAGAGGAAACAATGCACTGATTGCTTGCCTCCTGAAGCCTCACACAGTGCTTCACTGATGATGTTGTTTTGTGGGTGTCCTGACAGAAACTCACATTTGGAAAAGATATTGGCACCTCAAGTATTTCAGGTTACAAGAAACAGCTGCTCTCGGGTGCCCCTGCGACCCTAGGCTGTGCCAGATGATTTTAAACTGTGCTTGTAGTCAGACCCATAAAAGACGCATTTCTCCAGGAGATGAGCGTGTAAAGGAAGGGAAAATTACATTTTCTGACGGCTAAACTCTGGCAAACTTTAGCCCGTGCCAGACTATTCTACACATCTCCCCAAATGCGCTGAGGAGGAACCAAGTGAATGAATCCACAAAAACCGGCAAATCACAGTGGCTGAAGCGTTACACATTTTGGTCTGTTTGTTAGTAGAAATATCATGCAACTTAATTACAGAAATGGTGTGCGGACAGGAAATGTAAACCAGTCTAATTAATTTAAGTCAGTTCTGCCAAACCGTAAAAGTCATGCACAATCATCTGGAGGGAGAAAGCCAAAACACTTTTACCATCACTAATAGCACAGTTGCAAGTTTTTTTTTTTACCCTTTTAGAAGGCACTAAAGTGCTTATTATACTGCCGAACAATTAAACACACAAAACTTTTCCGATCATGAATAAACATGTAATTTGTTATTTATCAATGATCGCCTGTGATTTCAAAAGCGAGTATGAATCATCAGCACTGCTTACCTCAGGTTAATGCAGGAATATTCAGCATGAAACTTTTTGACTCGATTCCCAGTCCCTTGGAAGAGCTCAGAGTGTACAAGGACTATGAAAGTCTGAGTTTCCAGTAAAGCCTCCCTTCTCTCTCTCTTTCTCTTTCTCTCTTTCTCTCTGCTCCCTTGCAGACGCACTCGGATGGAGATGACTGAATTCTGCACAGAAACCGACACTTTATCCCGTTTCACAAGCGCTTTTCCATAGACTTTTTTCTTCAGAGTCACTTTACGCAAACGGTGACAAAACTGAACCCCATGTTCGGCTATGGAGTCCCGCAAAGCGCCCTAGAGTTGGTTACACAGCCAATGTGGGAATGCGCACCCCCTTCTCTTCCTCCCTCCTCCCTCCCTTTCTCCACAGTCTGTGGACCACCCCGAAACAGGAAGTTCACTTTTTGTTTTTCTTGAAAAAGGACCACGCTGCTTCAGTTTTCCCCTCAAAGTTAACATGAGCCACACGTTATCCACCCAAGCTGATATATATATATATATGTTCAATTACTCTCCTCTTTTGTTTGTAAGCAAACACAAATGCATTTACAGCGATATAGTTAAGGTATATAAAGACATTACAACATGCATATGTTTATAAAATACTTGTATGGACACGGCTGTGTCTATATAAAGTGCGTTCCTATCTAGTAATTGGGATAATCTATCTATAAATGTTTTTGTTTACTTTAATGGTGTAACTTCATAGCAGCCTCTGGGACAGCGTGTGTGGCTGGCTACGTGTGGGGATGCTGCAGATTGCTGTGCCTTACCACTAAAATCCACCACAAAACCTGGACTGGAGTTCTGTCTGAAGCTCAGGACCACGACCAGTGCCACAGGTCTACAATATTAGATTTCTAATAGAGAACATACCTTAATGTAATGTTCCTTTAATATAAATCCCATTTAATAATAGCAATATGATACACTTGTAGGTGCCAAATTAGTCACTTCTAAGAAAATATAAGGTTGGTCTTACTTAAATTGGATTAAAGGACTGTGGGCCTCAGACTCTCAGCGTCCTAAAATTCCGTGTGTTAATAATTTAAGTAATTTTAAATTTGTTGTGAGACTTTGCGCCACTAAAGTACAACATCAACTAAATCAGGTCTATCATTTGCAATACTCAATCTTATGGACCTGTCTTGTAGTGGGGCCCTGTGTCAAAGTCTATAGTTCTAACACAGTTCACAGTGTTCTCATATTATTTAATGAATTTTTAGTTTAATCAAATTATGAGTATTTGGCACATAGAGAGTATCAATTGTTCTCAGTTTCTGTGTATATGACGCTGCCATGTGTTGTCTGTTGTGTGTAATAGGAACTCGGAGGCAACAACATGCACACACAGTGTACAGAAGGCGGCAGGTGGGGGTTCAATAAGGTCCCAGCATCAAGTTTTTGCCTTTCTAACAGGTGAATCTGACCATGCTCGTAGTTTGTCCATGCCCGCTATATTTGCTATAACTAACAAATAATAAAGCAGTCTGTTTTACAGTGAGTCTCTATCATGGCATAGTTGTTTGGATTTTGGCTATGATTGGTTACCGTCTTAACCTTTTCTGGGAAAATGCTGCCTGTGACCTCCACAAGTTTCAATTCCTTTTCCAACAGAAGAGGTCAATAACAGTCTTTCTGAATGTGTTTTTCTTCCTGATGATTGCTAAAGCTCTGTCACACATGATGGCAGACACCACTGTTCTTACAGTAGGACAGTTGATTAACAAATTATTGCCCTCTTAAATGTTTTGTATGATTTGAATGGTGAACTATCTGTGGCTGGATCATTTACATTCAAGTTAACCCTGAGGCGAGGTAGTACTTTATGATCATTTTGTGTATTTCTTATGTGTTGTTTATTGTGTTATATAATGCACTAGCTCATCTCTGTTTCAGGCTCATGTGTAATTCATTTTCCAGACGGGGTTTGAATGTGGTTTAAGGCATTTGCTGGCTCCAGTGTCATTACCTCTGTCTGTGTTATTCATTGATCTTCTGTATTTGTGGTGTTGGCAGTTCACTGGGGAGCATGCTGTTGTTTTGTGGTTAACTTACAGTTTGAAAAGTTCCACTAGTGTCTTGCGAGTGTTTGTTATAAGCATGTTTGGGAGACCGTAATGTGTGTTGAACTGATGCCACTGGTACAGAATGTGTGAGTCAGCTGTGCAAATGTAATAGTCTAAATAATGTTGAGTGTGCAGTCCATAAGTGCCAGGAGGCTTCTCCATGTTCCTCTAAAATGTGTGTTGTCTCTCAGCTTGGGGACAAAAATAGTTTTTAATTTATGATTCCCTTATATTGAAAATAGACTCACTCACTTACCTCTTGTATTTAGTTGTCCATATCATTTATAGTTTTTATGTGTTGAGATTTTGAGATATCCATACCTGAAATGTCTGCCATCACCCCAGCACAATGACATACATTTGTGGACTTTAAAACAATTGATTTAGCAAGAAAGTACAAATTAATATGTCACATTTACTAAAAATGTATCTGCATGGCATACCACAGATACTCAAAACAAAATGTGTTTTAGTTGCTGACCCACTAAAGGAGCATCTTTATATTAACATTGTTAATTGTTAATTACTTTGTGGTCCACAAGGTAGACCACATAATGTAACAGCTGTCACTATAAGGCATAAAAAAAAACAACAACCTAGAAATAAATGTTAATAAATCTAACAGTACTTACCATGGCGACAAAATGGGTAAAGTAGCACAAGTTACCACAAGAGTTTGATTTTGTTCTTGATAGACTTTGTTTCTCTATCAGAAAACAGAAAGTCCACAGACACGAAGCAGTTTCACTTCATAGCAACAATAAAGCTGAGACAAAGTCTGAACAGTTGGTGACCTGGACCAAGGCAAGAGTCCATTGAGAACATACGGCCAATGGTTAAATCAGATTTTGTCAATGAAAGTCGTGGGCTTTAGTCCTAATATAGCCGCTGCTGTAGCAGCCAAGCAGGGAAGTCTTGGATGTAAATGGGCCCACAGATGCTGGAGCCATATGCTTCATCTGACTGCAGAGAGAATCCAACACAGACTTGACTCGAGATTATCAATGGGAGGGGATTAAAGGTGAAGCAGCAAATCCTTAAGTCTTATTTGACTGTGTAAGACATTTATGTTTGGTATTTTCATAAATTCATTTGAATGATCCTTTTTGGAATAACAGTTACACAATTTACACAATGCCCAATTATTATTTTGATTACCCATGACCTCTGTATAGTCAAAATTACAGTCTCTGTTGAAAGCTTTAACTGTAAAAACTATGAATGACATGAAAGACACTAAATAATTGACACAAAATAAGCTGAAGAGTATTTTCAAGTGGTACCATAATATATATGAGTATAAAAAATAGTTTATACTGAAAACGTCTTCAACAGTAAGAGGTATGTTGACCAGAGGATTAACATGTAAAACTGTTCTCTGAAAGGTGAATGAGAATGAAAGATGGAACAACTGATTACTTTGGCCACTTGTGGGCAGCAGAACAATCTGAAAACACACAATTGACATGTAATAGCATTACCTAGTTGCTAATGCATTAGCAGACAGTTGACAAATATTCACTCTCATTTGAGCTCTTTTTGCCTTCACCAATTCCTGAGGGAAATGTTTCTTCAGCTGCTGAATACTCCACTATGTTAACTATCTAGCTGCAAACTTTGTTTGCAACTCTGTTGTTTGGTGCTGGGCAGGTGACAGAAAGCAGCTGCAGCTACAAACAAGTTTACAATGAAGTTGTGTGCCAGGTCTGTCTGTGGAGCTCTAACTGTCAATACCTGGTCAACTCTTAGGCCTTTTTCCCGAAGTTAATACTCTAGTGTTACAGGCTTCACAGAAAAAAATCTGTTGCTATCTAAATCCTATTGAGGCACCATGGTTGATAACAGCTATTAGAACAAAGTATGTGATAAAGTATGATTAAAAACATTTGCAGTAGCAATATATCTGAAATTCCTAGTAAGGTCACAGGTTTTGGTGTAACAACATGACAACAACGTGATCCGAGGTAGACTCTCTGTAGGGCTGAAGAGAGCTGTAGAGTTGGAAAGATGAATGGCACGAAAATAAAAGTTACAGGTGTCTACCTACAAAGCTCGTAGAGGGTTTACAGCACTAGACGGATTAGAGACAAAGTGAGTAATATAGTTAAGCTAAGTCAGACCAAAAGCTTTTGGCTATGACATTCAGTTCAGTTCAAATGAACATGACAACTTAGAGCTGTAAATGAGATCTTGCTTCACTTCTTATCACTTGTATTCCTGAAATCTGGCCTAAGCGTGTTATCGCAAAGACCTTTCACTGTCCTTAATCTGTAGAAGCCATTAGGTAGTACTGGTGATAGCTTGTACTACTGAAATACACTTTTATTTAATCTGCTGCGTGTTGTTGGTATGACAAGCTGAGATATTCCCACAATTGTCTTAGAATATCCAAGGAATATGATGTGTAAACAGTGCCATAGCTTGCAAAATAAACAATAGCATTTAACAGTTGAAAAAGTATAATTCACATTTAATAAAAGTTAAAAGAAAGTGTTGTGTGGGTGGAGGGTGAAGGAGCATCCCGGTTTAGAGTATTTGAGGCCACTGGAGGATACAGAGGAACGTGCATGCTAGCCAAGTGAGAGGGAGAGAAAGCATCTGTCACTAAGACTCAGGGCAGCTGGACACCATTCCCCCGTGCAGCAAAATCCACAAAATCTTTTACAGGATTTGTTTTTCCATTGCAGATGGTCCTTTGCACATGTTTTCTTCCCATTGGTCCGGGGTCGCAGGCTGACAGCGCTGCAGGTACTACTTATAAGGGTGCTCTCTGCCTGCACTGGGTTTCACCTCAGGCCTTACACACTGAGGAGAGGAAACTGGAGAGGTGAGACTGCAGGGGATAAACAATACCAGAAGAGGGCTGCATGAATGCTTTAGTCACTGCAGGGTGGACAGGTAAGAATTGCACAGAGATCTTATTTGATCTATATTTATCAAGGAATCTAATGCACTGTGCATTTAGTGCAACTGTTTTTGCAATGCATGCACACATTTAAATGTCTTACATTTTCATAGTTGCTTGATATTTGCAGCTTGTACAGGGTTTGTGATGCATTTCCTATATAGTAGGGTTGTATAAGGTAACTTCAGTATGCTACCACATCCAGCCTTCTGGCATATTACCATGCATTTGTTCAGTTGAACTGTGACATTACTGCATTTTTTGCACCAAAGTAATCCAAAACAGACATTCCCTTTAACATGATAGATTATTAAAGATAAATATATTGTAATCCTAATTTTGAAAAAAAAATGTTTAACTTAAATGCTCTGAAACTGGAAAACATAATATAAGAGAAGTGCATAATGTCTGGGACTTTTTTATTTTATTGAAAACAACCCACATTTGCATCTCTCAAAATCTGCACTTTAATCTAAAAATTATTAAGACAAGTTTGAAAGATTAATGATATTAAGATGAATATTATTATATCTTGGGACACTAATTGAGTTGTTAAAGTAACAAACCAATATTCCCAATAACCACAATTTACAATAATCCCATTGCATTTAATCTAATTTAATATATCTTTATTGTATTAAAATTCTGTAGAGTGATTCATGGCCTGTTCTCTCTCCACTGTCAAGTTACTCTATTGAACATCTCTTCTTCTATATTTGTGTCATGGTGTAATTATTATTCATTACCAAGGGAGTTCAACATCAAATAAATGGACATTAATAATTGTGCAATTGAGAGTTATAAATGGAATGGGTTTGGGTTATCTGATAGTAGTACTACTACACGTGTCATTGTAATCCACAGTACTGGTTTGAATGGATTATGTACACTAAACTGTAAGACAATTTAAACAAGAGACAGGCTAAGTAAGAGAATTTTACCATTTGTATTTTTTTTTCTTTTTAATTATTTAATGATGAATTAAAGATGAAAATTTTAATAGACAGTTAGCAAAAGTGAGTTTCTAACAGGGCAAAATGGTCGTCTTCAATCACTTTGGGTTTTTAATTATGCATTTTCATGTCTAGTGCAATTTTGAGCAATGTTGCAACAAAAACACAGTAGGGTAAAAGTATGGGTAAAATAAAGAGAATATATTATATATAATTATATTGTATCATGATATGAATGTAATATGTCCCTGTATAATGGACAGCCACTTCTGCTATGTTATGTGCGTGCCATATTTTTATGTGTAAACTTAGGTCAACAATAAGTGAGATTAAAAATGCATTGATCAGTATTATCACAATGCATGCAGATGTAACTGCTGATATTTTGCATGCCTAAATAATCCAGAATATTCAGTGGAGAAAATTGGAGTTGCAGAGACATCAAGTAAATACAATAGATGTATTTTCACATTCCTTTTTGAGGCACCGTCACCAGAGGGCAGCATAATACAAGCCTGAGAACAGGGCAAACCAAAACATCATGAAAACAACACAGTCCCATAGTACTCACCATTTGAGAGGATGATATTATTAGGGTAACATTTACAGTGTGTACACATCCTCTACATATTCATAAAAAAATTAAATATGTGTGTAGAATAATACTGTATACTTTCATATAATGTATATTACTTGAAGCATTCAACTCGTGGTTTTGTCCGTTTTTTCCTCCTGACAGCTTCTGACAGAAAACAGAACCACAAATGTAAGTGCTTTTCTAAGAGGAAGTGGCAGAATTTATGATTTAATATACTGCATACATATAGCATGGAATTCCATCATTGTAGAGTCAAATGTCAAAATGTTTTATTGACTTATTTGTTCATATATTTACTTCTTTTTTTTTTGTCATTGCCATCAGTTCAAGACTCCATATCATCTCAGCAAATACTGTTTTATGTGACAGGAGAGGCATATTTTATGTCTCTTTATGTCCTGGGTTAGGTACGTATGTAGTAAAATGTAAAGTGCAAACAGTAAACCTCTGTTTGTTACATTGTTTTAAAGTTTACCAACTCAGTCAAAATGTAGTATATTTTTATGTTCAAATGTGCGCCATCTAGCTATGATCAGAACACAGAATATGCGTTCACACTGCAACCTTCAGTGCTTTATTGCTTTTTGTGTAGTTGTTCTCATTATTTGTTCAATTCCAGCGTCAACAGGTCATGGTCAATTAAATGTTGACAAACATAGATTTAGAGTGACATAAAAGTCACATTAATTCTCATATGACTGTTCACTCTGAGGTTGCATTGCAAAAAAATCTGACCTGAATCTGATTTGGACCACAGATGAAAGTGGCCCAAATCAGAATTCCTTATTCCTTATATCCACTGAAAATTTAAACTTTTATTTACTCTAACCAGTTATTTAATTAAAAAAATTAAACAATTACCATGTTAAAGATAATTAATGTTTGAACACCTAATGGTTTGTCTTTTTATTTAAATTAAATTAAATTACTGTATTATTATCTATAATGAGTGATAATTTGGTAAAATGCAAGCAAATCACTGCATTTAAGTAAATAAAGTAAACATATGCTCAAAACTCTGCAGAAGGTCATGGCTGATACATCTGTAAGCTGTCACATTAGAAGCTGGCATACAATAACCTGATTGAATGGATTCTGTTTAGTCTTCCTTGACAGAATTAGGTCCCCACAGGAAATTGTGTGCGGTAAGACCTGAGTGACGGTGAGGGTGGAACAGCAAGGACTGTGACATTAATTCCCTGAGCTGTGCTGATGCAAGCCCATGCTGGATCATGAACTATTTAAATCCATCAGCCCTTGTTCTTATTGAAAAACACCTCACAGCCCACCTGTTTTTGAAGATACTGGGCTTCAAAAGTTTAAGTGTCCAACGGAAAGATTCTTATCTCCAGCTTAAAATCTCAAGGTCAAGGACTTTTTAAGAGTTTCCATTCTATAAATATATAATAATAATATACATTTTTATTATTATTATTTATTTATTTTAATCAGAGTTGATTTTGAAGCCACTGTGTGTGGATAAAAAAAAAAAAAACTTTGGCTCCCTCTAATGGCAGTACCAAAAAATGGCATTGTGGTAGACATTTCCCACATCCCCCTCCCACCCACAGATTTTATAAATGTGCTACAAACACACAAAAGCTTTGTACTAATTTATAGTCACATTAAAAACTCTTCACACAGTGTCTTTAAGGGAGTCTGGTTTTATTTCTGTATTCAAAATTTTGTAATTTGCCACAATTGTCACTAGCCACTCCCAGAAATCTGTTCTAAAAGCATAAAGCAAATATATTTATGTTGCTATGTCCGGGCTCCTGACTCCAGACTCAGTTCCCTTCAGCACTATGGCGGTTAACGTCTTTCAGCAAGTTGTTTTGGTTTTATGGCCTGCACTCCACAGGTCTCATCATTGCTAATGTCAGCCACTTCAGGCTGGCAGGTTTTCTGCGAAAAAGCTCTTATAGCTCTATAGTGGAGTACTTTGCACACTAACATTACCGAAGATTTGGTATTTTTTGCGATTGATTAATTTTATGCATAAGATTACATTACTTACATTACAACTTTGCTAACACGGCCAAACATAAAGGAAGTGCAACATAGCAAGCCAGCTTATATTAAAAGTGTAACAGCAAGAAGGCCAACTCACTGTTTGTCTTGCAGCCTTTAATGTCATGCAGATCCCACCAACGACTAAAAAAGCCAGATACTTGTCCTGCCTCTTCCTCCGTCACTCTCTCTTTTTCTCTTAGTTTCCTTTGTCAGTGTCCTCTTCGGTCTCTTTGCCTATGCCATGTTATCCGTAGTAGGTGCTGAGGTTGTGGTTTCCCGCTTACCCCCTCACAAGTTCTGGTGGTGGTTCCAGTGTTCCCCACTGGCTCTCCCTGCCCCAAACTTGAAAACCTCCTTCTCCTGCAGGTGCAAAGCTTTTGTGCTAGTGGTGTAAACACCAACACTGCCCTAGTCCTTCAAGCTCCCAGTCTGGGCAGCATGGCTAACTGAGATAACTAGTTGGCTGTTACTTTAACAACAAGTAAAACAGCTGGAGGACATCAGAGGGAAAACCAAACCATTTTCTCCATAAAATATTTTCCAGTTTCACCAAAATCAGTGACATAGTTGGTTGTGTGTGATGCAGTCCCGTAAGTGTTGTGCAGTTCTTGCTGGAGATCCTAACTGTTCAACCAAAGTTACATAGAGCAAGAACAAAGCCCAGAGTGGGAATGACAGAGGCAAGATTCTCCCTATTACAAGTGTACCAGCAAAGTCATTTTGAAGCTGTTATTTTATGGTAAAATTGTTGCATAATGTTGCTTTAAAGAGACAGATATTTCCGTGAGGAGTTGGCAGATCATCATTTTAAAATGTGATTAATGTTGCGTTCACTGCTGGTTTCTGCTGCCCCCAAGTGGCCAAAAAAATCTGTACAATGGCATCAACACTGTATGACTAATGTATAAGCATTGTATAGCATAGATCATAGATCACTGCACATCCCACAAAGACATGCAGTTCTATAGTGATTCAGTTGACAAAATTATGGTGAGAATTGGTCAGGTGGTGCCCAGGTTACACAGGAACAAAACATTTGGGCACCACGCAGCACTTTAATCCTAGATAGCAGTGCCCCTTGGCTAGGTGCTCAGCCAGAGTTGGGTGGGAAGCTAGCAAAGAATCATGTCTGTCACTGATTCCAAATGTTTGGTACGGGTGTCTGTATTGTTGAATCTCTCACATTGGTAAGCAATACTGGAGGAGCCACATTGTAGTCTGCGTCTACTATCTTGGAATTTCCCCGTTGTGGGACAAATAAAGGAATATCTATCTCTCTATCTACTACTAAACCTACCTTACATCAAGCTACTAACCATGTCAGCTTGACATCTGTGCCAAGCACAGAATATGGTTGTTGACCTGCAATGTGCCACGTCGATAAGTTTTATTGCTAACAGAATGTCTTACCAACTAGCTTGTTGAGTTGGGATAAATGCTTGACTTGAGTGAGTTCTGCAGTGCCCAAACTCAACCCTGCCAATTCAGACACACAGTGCATAATGGCACCAGATTTGGCAAGATTTTGGAGGTACAGGTGTGGGACAATTTGGAGCACTTGGACTAGGTTTGGGCCAGTGTTGCCGCTGGCAATCAAACCAATGTACATTGGATGATTCAGGCATGTCAGGCATTCTTCAGCCACTGTTGGACCAAGCCATTTTAGCTATCTGGCTTGTTGCTCACATTTGATGTGTTTTGAAAATGCATGTTTATGTTCTCCTTGTTTATGACTGTTGCAGTGTGTTTCTGGAGCACTCAGCCAAGGTTCCATCTACTGATACCTTCTACTCCTTTTTTCCACATATTGACAAGACAAGACGGTGCTTGGTCTTGGAGACACACTCAAACAGGTACGTCTATCAAATTGTCGCAGGTGGTAACCATGTAACAAAAACTCCTTGGTCATCAGGCCCAAGATCTATTGCTGACTCTCAACAAAATCAAGACGAAGAAAAGAAGAAACAAGCAATGGTTTTGGTGTATATTTGTCTGTTGTGCTTGTTTTAGCATTCATTATTGGAACTTTAGCTATGAATATATATTAGCCATATCAGAAGTCACACTGACAGTTAAGACATCTTGTTAGCATCAAGTTTGATTGTAGCACAATTTTTTTCCCATTGGTACAGCAGTTCAAGTAATCAGGTATACCCTATTCTTTGGATACCTTATTTATGTGGAATCCTCTTCTTATTCTGTCTCCAAGTAGTAGCCACGTGTTGCTTGGGGAACTGAACTACAAATCGGTTGCTTTTTATTCAGATTTTTGTCTATGTTGTTATCAGAAATGTTTCTGTTGTTATGTCATATTTGTTTAGACATACATGGTGGCAAGGACACTCTACAGTGGAGGACTGTCTCTTGAAACTGGCTGTCCTTTTGCAGTCAAGCCTAAGCTATCAGGTGAGCACTGCTATCTCGAACTAGCGTAAACCTGTCTCTATATGGTAGGTACTGCATATTGCATTTGATATTGCTGCTAGACATTTAAAATGTGCATGTTTTGATATGTTTGACACAAGACACTCAGGCGCCAACTCTGACTTGCCTCGGGCTTACCAAGGATGCTTAGTATCCTGCATTTGTTCCAGGCTGGAGATAAAATGGGTTTTTGTTCTTTTAAGAGTAAGCAAGTATTCCAACTCTGGACGATGTCTGTTTTTACAGGATTCTGGGTGTGTTGACACAGAACCTCTTGATTTTCATCTGTTGATCTAACAAACTTGTCTCCCTTCTTTATGACCACATACCATTTTTATAAGCTGGAGCCCTTACAGAAACATAGTCCAATCAAGTGTCTAGCAACAAGCAGAGGCTTGGAAGATACCGTCCAACTTCTAGCAAAACAAAGTGAACGTGTATTGAATATTCTGGCATGCCCAGAACACGACACCTTCAGAAACAAGTTAGTGAGTTGTATGTCCACCCAAATCATGATCATCATTGAATTCATTAAATTTTTTTTATGTTTTTTTACAAAAAAAATAACATGAAAAAATGAAGAACAGATATTGAAATCGTTGTGTGTTGTTTGTCCAAGTATACCTTTGCAACTATATAGACTGTTGTCCAATTCACAGTGGTAGAAAATTATGGTACAGGAGTTTGGGATCTCTTTCTTTTCTCATTTTAAAATGTCCCA